TCATCGAGGTGAGTCCCGGCCCCCCAGCCCCTGGCGCACCTGCCCCGGACACCCCTCTCTTCCCTGGGGCCCTGGTGACAGATCTCGGGGCCCTTTGGGATCCACACCGGGACCTGGCTGCCCAGGTCCAGCTTCTCCTTTGGCACCGGGCTGCCCAGCCCCTGCTTTCTTCATGGGTTTAATCCGAAGGCCTCTCTGAAGTGTCTCAAATGGTGCCCCTGGCATGGGCACGTCCTCTCTCTCTCTCTCTTTCTCTCTCAATGTGAGTGGGACAAAGAGGAAGAGAGGGGGTGAATGGGGTGGGTTCAGTCCCTCCCACAGCCCAGAGGCCAGGGGAGTTACAGGAACAGGGAGGTGGGGCCTCGCCAGGACAGAGGGTGGCGGAGAGGGTCCAAGGGAGGGAGGAGAGCCCCCCAGGGCCACCCCCAGGGGACCCTGAGGCGGAAAGCACTCCTCCCTCACCTCCTGGGCGCGCTTGGGGGGGGTGTCTGTGCCACAGGTGAATGGGCAGAATGTGGTGAAGGTGGGCCACCGCCAGGTGGTGAACATGATCCGCCAGGGGGGCAACACGCTGATGGTGAAGGTGGTGATGGTCACCCGGCACCCGGACATGGACGAGGCCGTCCACAAGAAAGGTGAGCCTCCCGGGCTGCGCGGCCAGGCCCGGCTGCCGTCAGACCGACTCTCCGGAGCCCTCCCAGCCCCCGGCCTTCCCTTCCTCGAGGCTGCCTGTCCACACGGCCCTTCCGGGGAGAAACTGAGGCAGGGAGGTCTCCTCGCGGCTGCTGGTGGCCAGTCTCCGAGCTCCGGGAGCGCCGCGGTGGTGGCTGGGGGGTCACGGGGCTTCTCCCCGCGGTGCCCAGGCCGGACCCCGACCGACCGACCGTCCCCTTTTTAGCACCCCAGCAGGCTAAGCGGCTCCCGCCCCCAGCCATCTCCCTGCGTTCCAAGTCCATGACCTCAGAGCTGGAGGAGATGGGTGAGCCTGCGGGGCTGCCAGGCCCCAGCGTGAGGGCGAGGGCAGAGGGGGCGGGCGTCCTCGAGTCTGTTAGTGTCGTTAGTGGCCAGGGCTCCTCGTCCTCCTCCTGTCCCCGTCCACGGGCCAGACCCTCTCTGGCCTGCGTGTGTGTCGCTGGGAAAGGGGCGTCTGAGAGTCGACTTTTCTCTGTCCTCTTGCATCTGTTTCTCTGTCGGGGTCTGTGTGTCCCACGCGGCGAGTCCGTTTCTGGCCGGGCCCCTCTCCATCGGTCCCACCCCTGTCCTCCGCGATGATTGACCTGATCCAGGACACTCCCCTGCACACACTGTAGGATGCATATACAATATCCTACATTCTAACCACGCTCTCTGACTTCTTTTCTCTCCATGAGACAAACTCTTTAGAATTCTGGGAGTGAAGTTCCTCCTCTTGTTACTCACATTTATTATTTTGTTTTTATAATACTCTGTGATGA